GGCGACACCGAGGCATTCCCGACGGAAATCGGACTCCACCAGGGGTCGGCTCTTAGCCTTTACATCTTCGCCTTGATTATGGACGACATCTATTGTGCGACACCAGACGATGTTCCATGGTGTATGCTTTTCGCTGACGATATTGTCCTAGTTGCTGAAACAAAAAATGAGTTGAATAGTAGACTGGCTACCTGGAAGACTGCTTTGGAAGAAAAAGGTCTAAGGATCAATATTGAAAAAAAAGAGTATTTACGTTCAAACTACAATGGGAAACAAAATGATGAAGGTGTAGAAGTATGCATCAAAGGTCACGTTCTCCCCTTAAAGGATTGTTTCAAGTACCTAGGGTCTATGATACATAAAGATGGGGGTGTAGATGATGAGATTTCACACCGTATAAAGGCAGGATGGCTAAAGTGGAGGTCTGCTACTGGAGTTTTGTGTGACAAGAAGGTGCCTCTAAAACTTAAGGGAAAAGTTTTATAGAATGGCAATAAGACCTGCGCTGCTGTATGGATCAAAATGTTGGGCAATCAAGAAGGATCACGTAAGGAGGATGGAGGCAACAGAAATGAGAATGCTTCGATGGGCATGTGGTAGGACTCTGTGGGACATGACACCAAACTCTGCAATTAGGATGTCCTTGGGGGTGGTGTCTGTATCCGAAAAATTGAGGGAGGGAAGACTACGGTGGTTTGGGCATGTCCTTAGGCCACAACCGTTGGATGCGATCAGGAGGGTAGAGTCGATTACAGTCGATGGTACCAGAAGGAGAGGACGACCAAGGAGGAAGTGGGTAGACTGCTTGAGATCTGATTTGAAGGATTTAGCCCTTACCGAGGACATGACCTCTGATAGGAAAGTATAGAGACTTAAGACCAAGGTAGCTGAGTAGTGTGGGTCACAGCCATATGGTGTAGCACCTCTGTCTTCCTTTTAATTGCCTTTGTAGTAATTCCCATGACCTCTACTTTTTATACGCTTCTGTCATTGGAATTTATGAAGGCCTAGAACTAGGGTAGCGGAGTAGTGTTGCCTTAGTTTAGGTTTTAACCCATTTTGACTTTATTCCTTCTATTAGCTTGCTATTAGTAACCTCTGTGTATCCTCTGCATATGAAGACTGTTCAACTATATATTTATTTATTTATACATGCATTGATTTTATCTTTATTTTTTATTTTCTGAATGCCGGAGGTCTTCCACGGAAGCTGCTCTCATCCTGGCATTGGGGGCAGCCTACTACCCTACCTCCCCCTTACCCCATTGCATATGAAATAGGGTTTTATTGTTGTTGTTGTTGTATCTCATAACATATGTATATAACAAAGTATAAACCATACTGCAAATATCATATAATGGAAGATAATATAAAACTAATTTTTAAACCATTTACTCATAATGTAACATGCAAATCAACACTTCAGATATAAAGCATTTTATGCCAAATCAGAGTATTCGATGAAAGTTTTACTTTCAATGAACCAATCAAACTTGCACTTTTAAATTTCATATAAATCATATCCCAATGTATTATAAAAAAAAATGTAATATATATGAGTCTAGTCGAGTGTGTGCAATATGCACTCGAAAGTGCCTCGTATAATTACACTCAAAAGTGCCTCGTATAATTGCACTCAAAAGCGCCTCATATAATTACACCATAGGTTCCATATAGAATGTACAAATATGTACCACATAATCACTCCACCTCATGGCATGCCAATTGTACCTAAGATTCTCCAAGCACATAAAATGGGCTTTTTATATATCAATATCATATACTTAGCACTTATTATAAGTATCCATAGATACTATCATATCACACTATATAATATCAAATGCGTTGGGCAGTTCATACCTGAAATCACCCATAACCATTTAGCACAATATCGTATAAAATATATTCGGCAAGTCGTACCCAAAATCATCCATAAAACAGTTAATAAAATATCATATAAAAATTGTATTGGGTGATTCATACCCAAAATCATTTGAATACCATTTTGTAAAATAATATGAAAATAAATTGAAATACGATTTAAATATTTTTCTTTTCAAGTCATTCGAGGTTGACTCATCCCAAGTCTTTCCCGTATCATATATATATATATATATATAACAAGTAAAAATGCACTTATTTGGTATACTTAGCTTGCACACTTTATTTAATGGGATAAGCCTCACTTTTGTACTTTTTCCTTAACTTTTAGCCCACTTGGGTCTCGTTTATCATCACGATCAGCACGAGAATTAATTATACAAAATACACATTTCAAACACATGTTAGTACCTTCACTAACATGATATGCACATATTAGAATAAAAATTGCTAAAAATGAAATTAATGCATATTCAATTCAAATTCCGCTTCACTTGATCCATGCTACTTTAACTCCTTAAAAAACCTTTCAAGTCCTTGAAATAATAATCTGTATCAATAGTTCACAAGTATTTTCAACATTCCACATTTAACCTCTAATAAGCATTTCCTTGAAAATTCATCCCAATATTTTTAATTTCATTCAAAATGGTCCACTACAATTTCACCTTAAATCCAATACCAATCACCCATTTCAAACATTCTAACAATGTATTCAAATTAGTACATCAATACTATACCAATTTCTATTTCAAGTCCAACTTTCATGCATTTTACATTTTGGTCCCCAAACTTTAACAACTTCCAAAACAATCTAATCAACCTTCTAACATTAAAACTAATATTCTAATATTCAATTCCAGCATAGTACATCAGTTATTGAACAATTACACATAAATTCCCAAAATTTCACAAAATATGTGAATAGATTCATATACTTTCACAACTTCCAAATTGGTTCAAATCACACTTTAAAGCATGTAGAATCATTCAAACATCAATTCTAGGCTTAGGATTTTTTCCCCCAAAATTTTCCCCTAATTTCTTAAATAAGGCCGAATACTTTAGGGTTCATCTAGCATGGTTTTCACTTTGATTGAAGCATTATTTCAATCAATTCTATATAAAAAGAAATCAAACTTCAACCTTTCTATAAAGCCCAACCTTCACCAAATTCATCTTTAAGCATTTCTAATTGATTTCAATCATCACATATGCTTGGAAATGAATCAACTACATTAATAACATTAAAATCCATCCTTAAATCATTGAATTTCAACTTACTCTTCATCCACCCTAAAACCAAACCAACGATCCAAGAAATAAAACCATGAAATATTTATACCAAATGATAGAGAATTTGATGAAGATAAATTCTCTATTTCATGTCTTAACTAGAAAATAACTAAATAAAGCTTTAAAATGAAAATGAAAACTTTTTACCTTTGTTAATGGAGTCCATGGCATAACAAGAAGAAGATGAAAGTTTTTTTTTTCTTGATTTTTCTTTCCAAAATATCTAATTACACTTGTTATAAGGCTAATTAAAATGAATTAAAAATTTATTTAATTAAAATTACCAATTTACCATTACTAAATCAAGATAATTACCACCATATCATTATCATGATATCATTCCTTAGATCACCAAGTAAAATATAAAACTAATATTTTATTATTTTTCATCTTTACCCATGCATTTTCCAAAAATCCCAATCTTACCACTTTAATCCAACGGTCATGATTTAACATGGAAAAATTAACTTAATTCCAACAATCCATGTTAAATTCTACTAAATTAAAACATAGAAATGACACTATTAACCTTATACTATCATCTTCAGATTTTCTTAAATTTCTGATTCGATCCGATTATTTGAATATTTATCGAACTTATCACTTCATAATTTCTAATAAAAATTTTAGATAAAAAATTTGAAACCCATGAAAACGTCATTCTTGGGGCTAAATTATTCATTTACGGGATACAATTTCTTCTTGGAAAAATAACCACTTCGGTCCCTAAACTTTATCCAAGTTTACACTCTGAATACTAAACTTTCTTGGGGCTAAATTATTCATTTACGGGATCAAATTTCTTCTTGGAAAAATTACCAATTTGGTCCCTAAACTTTATCCAAGTTTACACTCTGAATACTAAACTTTCAAAATTTATATTTTGGTCACTAGTCCAAAATTCTGAGGTATTACATAAACAATTTCCCCAAACAATTCAACAATCAATATATTTGCACGAATCAAATTACCTCAATGGTAAATGGATAGTTGTTATCTCTAGATATCCTAAGTTCGAGCACTAGAGACTAAAAGGGTGTTTGAGCTTTTATTGTCAAATGGTTGTAAATCTTTAGAATATATACTACCTTATAGTCGCCCTAAATTGTTCATAAAAAAACAATCAATATATCTGTTGAAAAGGCAATCAATATATATTACTAAAACACATCATGCTAATGAATAGCTTAATCGATCAACCAAAATATATTAAAAGCGGTTTTTTAAAAAATATTGTGGTGAAAGCAATCACAAAAATAAAAAAGAATTTATATGATTAGTGGTTATACTTGTAAACCAAGTCTATATTTATTACCTTTGCTACCCATACTATAAGAGTTTCACTTTCTTATTTTGAACATATAAGAATTAGAAGATTGTGTTAACTTTGAGAAATAATATTTAAAATTTGAAAGTATATCAATCAAGATAAAATTGTTTTTAAAGTAATAATTACACGACACGATAATTAATTGTGATTGTTCATTCATTATTTTTCTGTAATAGTTAATCTTAATATTTTCTCAAATGTATATTGTCTTGAAGACTCCAAGATTGTAATTATTGATAATGTATTAAATCTATTTCAAATACTCATTTATTCTTAAAGATTTCAAAATTATTGCTAGTGGCTCGAGTAATCATATTAATCGTTTTCAACCTCCCTCAATCTTATATTAAAAATCTAATATATAAATTGTATATGGACCATCCCAAGTTCATTAAAAAAAAAAAACTAAAAAGGGACAAGTCAATATTACATGCATGGATCACATGACAACATACTTCCATTTATTCAAAGCATATATGGAATAGTATAATACAGAAAAGCAAAAAGAAAAAGAGATGCTTCAAACCAATGCTTTCAACATTTTGTACAAATTAGTATTTTCAAAATTCATTAAAATACATAAATATTCCCTTAACTACGTACATTGTCTGTACATAAAAGTCATAATAATACAGAAATCAAGTAAACAACCTGAGACGATTAGTAATCCTTTGTCGGCATATTGGACAGTTGGACACCTTTGACCCACATTCTCTGCAAGTCTGCAATAACAATAATAATAAATGAAACTGATGTGGTTTATGTAATAAATCAATTAAAATAAAGGATGTAATGTAACTTACCATATGTCCACAACCAAAGGCCACGTCTTTGGCAAGGCAGATAGGGCATGCCTACAATTACATATGCCCCAACAGATAAAGGATATAATACAAAATCAATAAATGCGTAATAATAAAAAAATACGCCTAATATTTAACTAAATAATTATTTTTACCCATAATTTTTTAATATTTTAATAATTCATTTTGGGGAAAAAGTTAACTAAATAAAACGAAACATTATGATCAAAATGCTTCAATCACTACAACAAAACATGTTTTTAGCCGTGTTTTTTCAGTCATATAGAGGTGTTTTTAAGTGCCGCTAAAAACTCTTGTGATGAAAAAAACCGCAGCAAAAACCGCCGCTAAAACCAACACCGCAAAAGGTAGCGGAGTTTTTCGTCTACAAACACCGCTATATATATCTTTTCTTTTGTGGATTTTGCAAAAAAACCGCTAAACGTTCTGACATATAGTGACGTTTGTTCTCAAAAACGCCGGTAAAGGTCATGATATATAGCGGCGTTTGCATATTTAAAAGGCTGTTATTGACTATGTCTATAGTGGTGTTTTTTGTATAAACGCCGCAAAATATCTATAACTTCAGTGGTGTTTTTTTTCTTAAACTTCGGCATTGAGTATGTATTTAGTGGCGTTTGTTATACATATGACGCTAATTAAAACATATTTTGCCGATGGTGTTTTATGCTCTTTTGTTACCCAAATTTAAATTTTTAACCTGTAGCATTATCCAATAAACATGACAATCATAACAAAAAACTTGAAATCCATAACAACCAAATTGAAATCCATAATAATAAATCAAACTTTACATTAACGTAAAATATAATGCAGTTCAACATTGTTAACTAGAATGAACAAATCATATATATAAAATAACACTTAAGATGGTGGACTTTGAGGTTGATTTTGTCGTATCATCTGCATCATAGCTTCAAGTCGATTTTCAGAGTTTTGACATTTTTGCTGATATGATGATTCTCTCTCTGCTTCTCTCGCTTCATTTTCAGCTATTGTTTTAAACGACTAACTTCTAATTGGGAAGACTGACTCTGTGATACATACACCAGAGTCCATAATACATGCTTCTTTGGACTAATGTTTCTACTTGAACCTATTAGAAGGACAAAGTCTCAAAGTTTCAAAGCATATCTATTCGGTAAGTATAATGTGAATGAATCATTAAACGATTCTAATGTTTCTCCCCTTAATGTGTAACACACCCCAACCCGTATCCAACCCGGATACGAGTTAGAGCTATTACATTGACTTTTAAAACACAACTCATTACAAATAATAGCAAAATACTTGAACTTATATTACGAAAAATACAATAATATACATATGGTAATATAAGTTTACCAAAATATTCAGAGCATACACAACTTAACTCTTTAGTTACATGCCAACATCCATTTTCATAACAAAATGACCTACTAATTGAGTTGCTTCTGATCTGATAGTTGCAGGAGTAATGTTGTCCAACTGCTTAACCTCGATCGTCTACTTTATCGAATCTTACGTGTGAAACACTCACACGCTAAGTCATCAACTTAGTGAGGTAATATAATAATAATATCAATAAATATAAAGTAATTGCCAAAACGAGATGGGTTGCAATGATAAGATGTATGTAAATAATGTAATAACCAGAACCATGTTTCTTACACATATACTTATCAAATTCACATTCATAAGTTCACCTTAGTAAGTTCATTAGCCCATGGTACCATACAGAGAACCTAAGGTATGTGAGTATTGTGAGGTTGTGCACTATGCTGTCACCACAGCTCATATAATTGCACCTAAGTGCCACGTAGAATTGCACCGGAGTGCCGCGTAGAATTGCACCGTAGTGCCATATAATAATGTCCATAAGGACCACATATCATTCCTTAAGAATCATATACATATGCCAAGGATCAAGTATGTGTCTCACCAGACTTCACACATGTTCCAAAGAATACATATATGTCCCGAAGGACCACATATCATTCCTTAAAAATCATATACATATGCCAAGGATCAAGTATGTGTCTCACCAGACTTCACACATGTTCCAAAGAATACATATATGTGCCGAAGGACCACATAGACCCTCTACCCTTGGCATGCCAACTATACCTATAGTTCTCATTTACATAACATAGGCTTTCATAATTTATCTAATTTGTATCACGTAGACATATTATTTTCATACCTTTATCACATAACTCATATAACGTTTTCTTGCATATTCATGTCCCATAATGTATATGGTATGGATTCATGTCATATATCACAATATGAAATATGATCATGTATCAAAATATTGAATCTAGACTTATCACAAGTCTAGAACTGAATAAAATACATATTCATGCTATGCATATGCACTCACCTAGATTTCTTTGTCTTTCCCTCGTTTGATCCTACTTGTCGATGGTTCCGCAACTCGATTAGGCTCAATATGTACATAAGAAAAATTTTCAAGACGATTATCAGATGCCTAAGTCTTGAAATTAACCTCTAATAGCCTAACATTTTAAGGGATTGATAGTTTAGTCTCTCTTCTTTTTTTTATGGGGAAATCGGTTCCCCCCTGGGGGTATCGATTCCCCTCTAGCATTCTGGTAATTCATATTCGTTTGAGGGGGGATCGATTCCCCTTGAATGGGTACTGATTCCCCTAGCCCAGAAATCCCATTTTGAGCTCGAAAATCACCTTATTTCAGCTCAAATCTTCTTATTTCACTCCCTTTAATATTCCTAACTTTAATACACATACTTAAACTCATTTCTACTCCATAATCACTTCTTTAAACTCCAAATCTAGTCATTCCTATGTAATTGCAAAAATTATACTAGTTTTGCAACATGTTCAAATTCCTATTCTAACACTTCCTATCCCTTAATTAACTTGATGACAAGTCAAATCTCACTTCCAATTCTTATTATGAACTCTAATATAAGATTTCACTTTTCTACTTCCTTTCTTTAATTCTTCATATACTTCTCATCTTGAGGTTTTAAAATAATTTAAACTTCCTTTAAGCTTAACTATTGCCTAATGGTCATGAATCAACCATAAATTCATCAAGAAATTCACTAACAAGAGATCTTACCTTAACTTGGGTCTCACGTATGAAGAAAGAAGAAGAGGACTCTGGAAGCTTGTTTGATTTCCTATACTTTCACGTGGTTAATATAATACTAACCCTAAATAATTATATTGCTATAAAAAAGACCATTTTGTCCTTCTAATCCTCATTCTTTATAATTCAATCCTATACAAAATAACTCAAATAAGTCATTGAACGTTTCCATCATTCTACTTTAAATCACCAAATGCTGAAACTTTACAATTTAATCACTAACCTGGCATGGAGGATGTTACAAATCTCCCTCCCTTAAGAAAATTCGTCCTCGAATTTTCAATAAGAAAAGAGATGGGGATACTGATTCCTCATATCCTCCTCACGCTCCCATGTTGCTTCCTCTACTTTGTGATTTCTCCAAAGAACCTTGACCAACGGAACTGTCTTACTCCTTAATTGTTTGACTTCATAAGCCAATATTCTCACTGGTTCTTCTTTATATGTCAGATCCGATTGGACTTCTACTTGTTCTGGTGCAACGATGTGAGAGGGATTGGACCTATTTCTTCGTAACATGGACACATGGAAGACGTTATGGATCTTCTCCATTTCTGGTTGCAAGGATAATTGATATGCCACTGGTCCTATTCTCTTAATAACTTCATATGGCCCAATGAATCTAGGACTTAACTTTTCTTTCCGACTAAAACGTAATACTTTTTTCCAGAGAGATACTTTAAGGAAAACTTTATCTCCAACCTCGAACTCAATCTCTTTTCTTTTAAGATCATAATAGGACTTTTGCCGATCATAGGCCACTTTGAGGTTATACTGAATTTCTCGAACTTTCTTTTCTACATCTTAAATTAAATCCGGACCAAGAACACTTCGATCTTTGAGTTCATACCAATTTAGTGGAGTGCAACATTTCCTCTCATATAATGCCTCATATGGGGCCATCTTTATACTAGACTGATAACTATTGTTGTAAGCGAACTCTACCAGCGGTAAATACTTTTCCCATGATCCTTTGAATTCCATTACGCATGCTCTCAACATATCTTCCAATATCTGAATAGTTCTCTCTGATTGCCCGTCATTCTGAGGATGAAAAGCCGTACTAAAGTTTAAACGAGTCCCCAACGCTCCATGCAAAGATTTCCAGAATCTAGAAGTGAATCGAGGGTCTCGATCAGAGACTACGGAAACAGGCACTCCATGCAATCTAATAACTTCTCTAATATACAGCTCTGCATACTTTTCCATAGAGAAATCCGTTCTAACCGGAAGGAAATGCGCTGAATTAGTTAATCGATCAACAATTACCCAGATTGATTCTCTTTTGTTCGAAGTCAAGGGTAACCCCAAAATAAAATCCATCGTAACATTTTCTCATTTCCATTGAGGAATGAAAAGCGGTTGCAATAATCCTGACGGAACTTGATGCTCAGCTTTGACTTGTTGACATATCAAACACTTAAACACAAATTCAGTGATGCTTCGTTTCATCCCTCACCACCAAAATCGATCCTTTAAATCCGTATACATCTTGGTTCCACCCGGGTGCATCGTTAACGGACTGCAATGATCTTCTGTTAATATTTATTTCTTCAAGTCGTCATTGTCGGGTATTACAATTCTTCCTTTACAATATAGATTTCCATCTGACATAACCTCAAAGTTTTTAATCTCTTTGCTCTTTACTTGCTCAATTCTTTTCAAACACGTTTCATCTTTACTTTGCAATTCTCCTATTTGGTCCAACCATGTTGGTTTAAGTGTTAACTCTGCACAAAGACCACAGTCTCCCGTTAAAGATAATCTTGCATCCATAGGTCGTAAAGATGCAAACGTCTTTCTACTCAAAGCATCTACTACCACGTTAGCCTTTCCGGGATGATAGTCAATTATCACATCATAATCTTTTAAGAACTCTACCCATCTGCGTTGCCTCAAATTCA